AAACGGATCGGGTTAAGCAGCTGACCTCTGGGGAAGCCCTCTCGCCTCTCCCCGCAGTTAGGGACCATTCTCCAAGGTACCGCTGCTTCTCTTCTCAGTTTCTTTTCTGAAGTACACAGTAAACTCCATAGTTTTGAAAGAAAATAGTGTGGGTGTGCGCAGATGCAAAGATACATTCTCGGTGGGGCATGAGCGACCGGAGCGAAATTGGAGCGAGAGATAAGGCTCCTCTCCACCTTTTAAAAAAAATAGCCACTCCTCGCTCAACACAAAATCCTTCCACTCCCCACTCCGCTCACATGCTCTGCCAGGGACTAACACAAAAACGGCGTGTATGTAAAGAGGAGACTCGTGGGTACCCACAGAACCCAGATATCTTGAGGTCAGAGGTCAAGGGGCCTCTGTGACAATGGCCATGCCAGTTTTTTTTTCCTTCACCAAAAATTACCCTAAATTCAGAGTGTTATTTAACCCCCTTACTGACAAGCTAGCATGACCTGCTTATATGGAGGTAGATCTGTGTCCATATCAACGACAACCCGTGTGTTAATGTTTAATCTGTAAATATACACAAATAGACAATACACACAAATTCCATAAATTAAAGAGGAAAGACTCAGGGTGTGTAAAAAAAAATATGGGCATCTGACCTTTCTTTCACCTATAGAGTGTCCGGCATGAGTTACTTTTACGAGACAGCTTACAAATCATCTTATGCTCTGTAATCCATTATGACAGTAGTAAGACATATAGCAGAGGCCTTATTGCAAAGCAGGCCAAAGGTGGACCTCCAGAGAGGCCTTCAAAGAGATGCACCATGTATTGTGACTATGGATGGGCATGTGTTTTGGGTAACTATAAAGATAGAGGGCTGGAGGACATTGCCAGCTCTCACTTTGACTGACTGTTCATGCAGTTTGTACTGTGTGTGAGACTCCATTCGTGAATGCTTAATAAAACTCAAGAAAGACAGCCGACGTGTGAAGACTTTTCTTTGAATTGTTTATTGAATAGTAATTTTGCCACCACAACACGGACAGTTGATCTGTCCCACAAATAATAGGGGTCAATGATTTTAAGCAGGCTTGTTGATTTTAACCAAGGTTGCTGATTTTAATCAAAGGTTGTTGATTTTAACCAAGGTTTCTGATTTCTGAAATGAGTTTCCTCCACAGGGTGGCTGGGCTCAGCCTTAGAGATAGGGTGAGGAGCTCAGACATCCGGGAGGGACTCGGAGTAGAGCCGCTGCTCCTCCACATTGAGAGGAGCCAGTTGAGGTGGTTCAGGCATCTGGTAAGGATGCCTTCCGGACGCCTCCCTTGGGAGGTGTTTCAGGCATGTCCAACCGGTAGGAGACCTCGGGGCCGCCCCAGAACACGCTGGAGGGATTACATCACCCAGCTGGCCTGGGAACGCCTCAGGGTTCCCGTGGAAAAGCTGACGGAAGTGGCGGGGGAGAGGACTGTCTGGGCTTCTTTGCTGAGGCTGCTGCCCCTGCGACCCGGACCCGGATAAGCGGAGGACGACGAGTACGAGTACGAGTACCAAAGGTTGCGGATTTTAACCAAGGTTGCTGATTTTAACCAAGGTTTCTGATTTTAACCAAAGGTTTCTGATTTTAACCAAAGGTTGTTGATCTTAACCAAGGTTGCTGATTTTAACCAAGGTTGCTGATTTTAACCAGAGGTTGCTGATTTTAACCAAAGGTTGCTGATTTTAACCAAAGGTCGTTGATTTTAACCAAGGTTGTTGATTTTAACCAAGGTTGCTGATTTTAACCAAAGGTTGCTGATTTTGACCAAGGGTTGCTGATTTTAACCAAGGTTTCCGATTTTAACCAAAGGTTGTTGATTTTAACCAAGGTTGCTAATTTTAACCAAAGGTTGCTGATTTTAACCAAGGTTGCTGATTTTAACCAAAGGTTGCTGATTTTAACCAAGGTCGTTGATTTTAACCAGGGTCGTTGATTTTAACCAGAGTCGCTAATTTTAACCAGGGTCGCTGATTTTAACCAGAGTCGCTAATTTTAACCAGGGTCGCTGATTTTAACCGGGGCCGCTGACTTTAACCAGGGTTGTTGATTTTAACCAGGGTTGTTGATTTTAACCAGAGTCACTAATTTTAACCAGGGTTGTTGATTTTAACCAAGGTTGCTGATTTTAACCAAAGGTTGCTGATTTTAACCAAAAGTTGTTGATTTTAACCAAGGTTGCTGATTTTAACCAAAGGTTGTTGATCTTAACCAAGGTTGCTGATTTTAACCAAGGTTGCTGATTTTAACCAGAGGTTGCTGATTTTAACCAAAGGTTGCTGATTTTAACCAAAGGTCGTTGATTTTAACCAAGGTTGTTGATTTTAACCAAGGTTGCTGATTTTAACCAGAGGTCGCTGATTTTAACCAGAGGTCGCTGATTTTAACCAAAGGTCGCTGACTTTAACCAGGGTCGCTGATTTTAACTAGGGTCACTGATTTTAACCAGGGTCGTTGATTTTGACCAGGGTCGTTGATTTTAACCAGGTTCATTGATTTTAAAAAGGGTCGTTGATTTTAACCAGAGTCGCTAATTTTAACCAGGGTTGTTGATTTTAACCAGGGTCTTTGACTTTAACCAGGTTCATTGATTTTAAAAAGGGTCATTGATTTTAACCAGAGTCGCTAATTTTAACCAGGGTTGTTGATTTTAACCAGGGTCTTTGACTTTAACCAGGTTTGTTGATTTTAAACAGGGTCGTAGCTTTTAACCAGGCTCGCTGATTTTAATCAGAGTCGTTCATTTGAACCAGGGTCGTTGATTTTAACCAGGGTCACTGACTTTAACCAGGGTTGTTGATTTTAACCAGGGTCTTTGACTTTAACCAGGTTTGTTGATTTTAACAAGGGTCGCTGATTTTAACCAGAGTCGTTGATTTTAACCAGGGTTACTGATTTTAACCAGGGTTGTTGATTTTAACCAGGGTCGTTGATTTTAACCAGGGTTACTGATTTTAACCAGGCTCGCTGATTTTAACCAGAGTCGTTCATTTGAACCAGGGTCGTTGATTTTCACCAGAGTCGCTGCTTTTAACTAGGGTTGTTGATTTTAACCAGGGTTGTTGATTTTAACCAGGGTCGTAGCTTTTAACCAGGCTCGCTGATTTTAATCAGAGTCGTTCATTTGAACCAGGGTTGTTGATTTTCACCAGAGTCACTGCTTTTAACTAGGGTTGTTGATTTTAACCAGGTTAGTTGATTTTAACCAGGGTTACTGATTTTAACCAGGCTCGCTGATTTTAATCAGAGTCGTTCATTTGAACCAGGGTTGTTGATTTTCACCAGAGTCGCTGCTTTTAACTAGGGTTGTTGATTTTAACCAGGGTCGTTGATTTTAACCAGGGTGGTTCATTTGAACCAGGGTCACTGATTTTTACCAGAGTCGCTGCTTTTAACTAGGGTTGTTGATTTTAACCAGGATTTCTGATTTTAACAAGGGTTGTTTAATTGCTGTATTTTGGGCAGAGACTAGATTTGAAGGGTTCGTTGTGGGTACTTGGGTTAAGGTGGGGCTGAGGTTGAGCGGCAGCCTCTTTCTCCAGTGTGGTATTAGTAGTCTTACTGCAGTAAAGGATCATACTTCTTGTATATTATATGAATATGACTGCTTGGTCCTAATAATGTGGTTGTTCTTTTAAGCTGGTTTGAAATGAGGCTATACAACAACAACAAAAGGAGAATGATCTAAAATTAAAGCAGCTCAGTGATTTGTTCTAATGACACCAGCTGGGTTCATGTGAGTCAGCTGAACATTTGAAAAACAGCTGCTGTTATTATAATCTCGGTCCAAGCCGAGGGTTTGTCAGTGTTGGCAGAGCGAGTGGAGGGTGGCAGCGTTTCCCTGTTTGGCTTCATGATGAGAGCCGCTGTGAAACAATGTGAGAGTGAGGGGGTTAACTTCCTGTCTGTCCACCAGGTTTTTGTAAATCTCAGCTCCATTGTCCCAAAAAGGAAAAGGGTAATTAAAGCGAAGTTGGGGGGCTTCAGGTCCTGCAGCGCCGTCTCTTTCATGTTTGTTCTGAGTGTTTTACTCAGTGTGTTTCTGTGGTGCTGTGAGGACCCCGGGCCTTATGAGGACGGTCCTGCTAAAATGATGTACAACACTTTGACTGAATCCTGTCAGCGGGATGACAAGCTGATGTTCACACGTTTCGTTTATATTTTAATATACTGATTCTGTAATTGCCACAGCGTCTGTGTTGAATTCACATGATGCGGTTGCCGTGGTGCCTTCAAGTGGAAGTTGCGTGATGCAGTTGCCATGGCATCTTATTGTGAAAGTTGTGTGATGTGGTTGCCGTTGCGTTGCCATGTGGAAGTCACGAGATGTTCTTGCCAATGCGTCTTCATGTGGAAGTTGCATGATGTGGTTGCCATGTGGGGGTTGGGTGATGTGGTTGCCATGGTGTCTCCACGTGGAAGTCACGAGATGCGACTGCCGTGGCGTCTACATGTTCAAGTCATAAATTGCAGTTGCCATTGTGTCCTCATGTGGAAGTTGTGTGATGTGGTTGCCATGGTGTCTTTGAGTTGAAGGCACATGATCCAGTAGCTGTGGGGTCTCCATGTAGAACTTGCACTATGGGGTTGCCGTGACATGTCAGTGTTGCAGTCACATGATGCAGTCGCCATGGCGTCTCACAGTGGAAGTTGCATGACGCGGTTGCCATGGCATCTCCATGTGGAAGTCACATGACGCGGTTCCAGCTGGAGGCAGATTTCAGGGGAGAATGACTTCATTGTCACGGCAGAACAAAGGTGGCTCTCAGCTCTCATTGGTCGGACGCAGCAGAGCCTGTATTCATGAGAGGAGCCAATGAGACGCTGACGCTCACAGGAAACACACACGACCTCTGTTTACATCCACTCGTTGATCAATAACAAGACACAACAGATCAATAACAACAAGCAGGCGTCAGCTTCATGTGACATTTGTTTTTATTTACAATCATCAGCTGAAGACGTTCAGAACAGTGACATGATTCAAAGCATGATCATCAATAATCATCAATACTCATACATAATAATCAATAATAATCAATAATATGATCAATAATACTGCTTCCTGTCTGATTGAAGGTGAAGTGATTTAAAACACATCAGCAGCTTCGTCTCTTCTGTCTTTATAACCTCTGATTTTACTCCTCATCATCAGTCGCTGACTGAACCGATCAATATCGAGTATTGATCATAGTTTATCATCTGTTGTTGTTGTTTATTACTGAACCAGTAAAACAGGAAACAGCAGCACGTTTAGTCTCTTTGGCTCCATGAAAACATCTGAATGATTGAAACTCATTTCATAACGACTAGAAATTGAAATATTCCAAAATAAAAGTTTGTTCCAGAGCTCCAGTGAGGCAGCCGGACTTTGTTCAAACCTTTATTTTGAAGAGCTGCAGCCGAGCGAGACAAACCAGGACGTGTAAGGAGAGCTTTAGGTTCTCAGGGGTTAAATCAGACAGAGAAAAAAACCTTTAAATATTTCAATTTCAATCTAGCCAGACTTTTGACTCTTTTATCTTCCACTGCAGCTTAAATCTCTCATTCAGAGCCTCATTAGGAAAACAAACGTTTTTACAGCAGTGTTGTTTCTGCTGTCGGCCTGAAATAGTTTCTGGAGACTGTTCAGGTGTGAGCACAGTTTCTACCCTCTGACCCTGAATTTGTCTTATTTTTTTCATTCTTTGTCGTCAGACATGAAAAAATAAATTTGTGTGATGAGGTTTTGTGTGTTTTAACAAAGTCTGGCTGCAGAGGAGTTCGTCGCCTCTAAAAAATGACTTATTTTCTTTACGTATTTCTGAATCAGAGTTTTAGACATTCGTCTCATTACAACATTAAATCTGCCATTCAGAGCCTCACTGGGGAAACAATCAGTTTTACTGGGAGTAGCTATGGAAACAGACTTGTGGCGTCCCTGATCGTCTCAGACGTACTCAGATTTGATCTTGATGGGGGACTGTCCTGGCTGCTCCCTCACCCTCACCAGAGGGACGTGGACGGGCGCGTTACAGTTCTCCCTCTGCAGACACAAACAGGAAGACAGCAGCAGCGTCCCTGCCACCAGGTGAAGAACTCCCGCTGTCCAGCCGCAGAACAGAGCGTCCCCGAACTCCCAGCGCGGCACCACCTCCGGCATCGACTCGTCGAAGAACCGCAACACCGCCATGTGGGCGATGTACGAGACCGGGATGAGCCCCAGGATCCCGGCCGCCAGGCACAGCGTGCCCCCTGCCATCTTCAGTGCCCTCTTGCAGCGGAGGTCCTCCAGCTGGTCATGGCAGCTGTTGACCACGTGCAAGCCGGGGATGGCCAGCAGGAGTCCGAGCAGCCCGGCGGCCAGCGTCACACACATGAGGATCCGGGCCAGCTTGATGTCCGGCGGCAGGCCCAGGAGGCTGTCGTAGGGGCGACACATCAGCGACCCGTGCTCCTGCACCACGCAGGTCTCCCACAGCCCCAGCTCATAGCTCTCGGTGGGGAGCAGGTCGGTGGAGAGCGTGAGCCAGGTGGACATCAGGGTGGTGGCCAGCGAGCAGAGCCAGGCCCCCCCAGAGAAGAAGACCCCCAACAGCTCCAGAGCGTGAATGTTTGGGTCCATGACGGTGCCGCTCAGAGTCTCACGGTCCTTTGCGTGTCTTTACCTCCTCGCCGTCAGGAGGCGGGGGCTCCTCGCTGGGCCATGACTCCTTCCAGGGAATATCCTGAGCGGGCTGCCAGCTCCGGCGGCAACTCAGAAAAAGCTCTTCAACACAGTGAGAGGGGAGCGGTGTCCCTGCCAAGCCTTGACCCCCCCCGCAGCCACCACCGCCACCACCCTCCATCAGTGAGACGGGAGAAAGTGATTGGACGGCACTGAAAACAACAGCATCATTCAGCCGCCTGTGAGGTCGCATGCACACAGGATGTCGTTCAAACGCAGACAGGATGTTATCAATGCACACATCTTTGTTTGAAGTTAATGGCATCGCTCGCTGCTTCCCTGCTTTGTGTGGGGACCCCCCCACCCACAGGGCGGCCCCCCCATACCCCCCCACCCCTCCCACAGCGTCACCAGGCAACCGTTTAACATGATGTCTCAGGCTTTGTTCATATAACCAGAAAACAGGAAAAAGAGGGTTTCCATGGTGACCCCCCCAAACTCAACATCCAGGCAACCTGCTGTTTATTCAATATTCAAGACAACTTTATTGTCACGTCTGTGAACAACAGTGAGACTCTGAGTTGGTGAGATGATGAAACATTCCTGTGGTTTGGGTTCTTTTTCATTTAAAGTCTGTGGCGTCTTTTCTCAGTGGACGTCTGAATGACGAACCGTTCTTTCAGACAGTTTAAGACATTTAATCGTCTGTAATTTATTTATTTATTTCTATTAATTGTTGTTTGCACTTACAAATACACATTCAGGAAGAAAAGAGTAGTAAAAAAATGTTAAAATGTGCAGGAAAGATCATCAAGCCCAAAGGGCTTATAAGCGACCCTCCCTTCTAAAACCTATAAATAACTATATTTAACCCCCCCCACCCCATACCCCTCCTCCCCACACACACATGCACAGACACACATGTGCATATCTTCCTCTCATACACACAGATATATACAATACAGCATTAAACAATAATTACAAAGCTGAATGAAATAAAATAAAAATACTTACAAAACACAATGATACACCGGTGACTAGAACATCTGTAGGGATTTTTTAAGCTTGGTCTTAAATGTATTTAAAGAGGAACATGATTCTGTTAGATTTTTTTATATCATTCCACAGCACTGCACCTTGATAGACAAATGAGAATTTAGCAACAGAGGTCCTACAGAAAGGAATGCGTAAGTCATTCTTTCTTCTTGTAAGATGAGCATGATAACGAGAGTTAGACTCTCTTGAAAAAAAATAGGTAGAGATGTAGGAAGGCAAATGACTTTATACATAAGAACCCCTGTTTGGGGCGTCGGTGGCTTAGTGGTAGAGCAGGCGTCCCATGTACAAGGTTGTTGCCGCAGTGGCCCGGGTTCAACTCCAGCCTGTGGCCCTTTGCTGCATGTCACTCCCCCTCTCTCATCCCCCTTCACGCTTGTCTGTCCTATCAAATAAAGGCTTAAAAATGCCCCAAAAAATATCTTTAAAAAAAAGAACCCCTGTTTGGTACTTGTTGACCTCATAAATTGTGAGTAGTTGCAATTGTTTAAATAATGGTTTAGTTGGGGCTAAATAAGAAGAGTTGGAGGCAATTCTTACAAAGGATTTCTGAAATCTATGGATTGTTTGTAAATAAGAAGGGTAAGTGCTGGCCCAAATTATATAACAGTAAGAGATGTAAGAATAAATCAAACTGTAATACAAAGTTAGAAGTGTGCTCCTTTTTAAATGCTGTTTAACCCTTTTTATAATGCCCAACGATTTTGAAACCGTCTTACAAACAAATTCACAATGATTCTTAAAGCAGAGTTGCTCATCAGTGTTGACACCGAAGAACTTCGCTGATGAAACTTGTGCAAGCGCATTGTTATTGACATAAATTTTGGCTCTGTCTGCATTGTAATTCTTGTTCTTATTTCTGAAAATAATGAAGTTAGATTTCTTGACATTGAGTGACAAGTTGTTTAACTTAAACCAATGGGAAAAATGAATGAGTCCAGGATTTGCTTTGTGCTTTGGCAATAAGGGAATCAAAATTCTTGTCAGTGACAAACAGATTTGTGTCATCAGCGAATAATATAGGTGACAATAAACTTGATGCATTAGCAAGATCATTAACATATATCAAAAACAACAAGGGTCCTAGAATGGATCCCTGTGGAACACCACATTTTAGTACAGCCAGCTGTGATCGATTACCATTAAAAACAACAAATTGCTCTCTGTTGTTTAAGTAATTATCAACCCATTGTAAAACCCGTTTTTTGAAACCATAACATAACATTTTTGATAACAAAATTTCATGATTCACTGTATCGAAAGCCTTTGATAAATCTAAGAAAACGCGTAAGGTGTATTCATTTTTCTCCAGAGCAGCAGTAATTTTTTCTCTGAGGTGCAAAAGAGCCATGTATGTAGAATATTTTTTTCTAAGCCCATATTGATATTTGAACAAAATATTGTTCGTATCTAGGTGCTTCATGATTCTACTATATACCGGCTTTTCAAGAATTTTAGAATAACAAGGCAGTATTGATAGAAGACGATAGTTTGAGAATATAGATGGATCATCAGATTTAAAGAGCGGAATAACCTTGGCAACTTTGAAGGCTTGAGGGATAGTACCTGATTCAAGGGACATGGAAAAAATGAATGTTCAAGGATCAATGATTAAAGAAGCTACCTTTTTGATCAAAGAGGCTGGAATTTCATCACGGCCAGGAGAAGAGTTTTTGAGACTCATAATAATATCAAGAACTTCCGAAGTGTTTACAGGCTCAGAAACATTTAAGGAAGCATACTCTTTACTTATAAAATCAGTGGGAGAACCAAAATGTTTTGCAAGACATGGTCCCACATTCACAAAAAAGTCATTAATTTGGGGTGGCTCTGTTATCTTTACTTCACCATCCTGAAATTCAGTCGGGGATGGAGAACAGTTGTGTCTCATATTGAGCAATTCTTTCAGAGTGTCCCATGTAGATTTAATGTTATTTGTAGAGCTGTTAAATCACTATAATACTCCCATTTAGCATTTCTAAGAAGATGGTTGTATTTGTTCCTAAATGTTTTGTATGTAGCATAGTTTAAAGGAGCAGGACTTTGTAGGTATTTTTTATATAATTTGTTTTTCTTCAGAGCAGATTTCTTCAGTTCAATAGTAAACCATGGTTTGTTCAAGCTTGCAGTGTTTTTGTTACTGTTAGTTATAAGAGGAAAACATTGGTCAAAAACAGAATAGAACTTGGTATAAAAATAATCATAAGCTGTATTTACATTCAACGCCTCATATACGACTTCCCAAGACAATTTTGCCAACATCTCTCTGAAGTTGTTAATATTCTTGTCATTGAACCTTCGAAATGAAAACCTCTTTGGTTCAGGCATACTTGATTCACTGTGCAAAACAGAGAATTGAAAAACAGGCATACGATCTGAGATGTCAGTATAAAGAATACCAGATTTTATAACATTAAGAAAGGTATTTGTAAAAATATTATCTATCAGTGTAGAGGATTTACTAGTTATTCTTGTAGGCTTGTTAAGTAGAGGCTAGAAGTAACTGGTGGACGGTTTGTTTGTGAGGTCATCAATGTGATGTTTGATTCCCCATTTAGAAGATTGATATTAAAATAACCTAGCAAATAACAAGGTTTACTCTCCTAATCAACATGTTCCAACACATCTAATAGACCTTCTTTGAACTTGTTGATGTCGGTATTTGGAGGACGATATATATGCAACCTACAATCACTCTTTTTTTCTCATTCAGAACAACAGTTTGAACCTCTACAAAAACAGCTTCACTGCTGCAGTCTTGAAGCTTCACTTCAAGATCAGTTCTTTGTTTGAATTCAAGACCCTTTTGAACATAGAGAGAAACTCCACCACCTCTACTTCCTCTACATCTATGTGTGGCTGTATAGGCAGCGATTTCAAATAGCGAGTTCATATCCTCTGTAAGCCATGTTTCAGTTAATGCAATAATTGAGAAGACATGGTCCAATGATGAGAGATAATGATAGAAATTGTCAGTTTTTAGAAAGACTTCTTATATGTAGAAATATTTAGAAATTAAATGAGGATTTTTATTGTAGTTTCATTTTCTTCCATGTCATGTAAAAAAAAAAGTAAGAACTGGAGAATGTCTTTGAGTTGACGCTTTTTAAACTCATTTCTCAAAAATTTTACCGGGAAAAAAAATATATTGGGATTTCTCTGGAAACTTTAAGATCTGAACACATTTCTACCAAAATTCAGAACCTGGTATTTTTGTAAATGTCAAGATCTCAAGTAGAAACTTAACGTGTCCTGAAGGTTTGATCAGCGTTTGTGGTGTCTGATCCAGGCTGCCAATAAATCATTTCATTTTCTCAGTGGACCTCTGAATCAGACGCTCTGATGGCCAGGTTAAATCATTTAAACCAGGGGGTCAAACATGCGGCTCGAGGGCTGGAACCGGCCTCCCAAAGGGTCCGATCCGGCCCGCTACATGACTTTGCACAGCTCATGTTGACGTGGCTGTAAAAGTAAGAGGAGCAACTTAAATGAGTATCCTGCTTCCTGTAAAATGTTGCTTCAGAGGTGTCTCCTCTCTGACCAGAGCACAGCTTCCTGCAGTCAGATTTAAAGATGTTAAACATTGTCTCTGTGTCACTTTTGGTGGATACGGACAAACTAACTCAACCTGCTTCTTCAACAGCTTCAAACTTTAGTTTGCCGTGATGGCGTCAGCATTACTGAGAGAGAGTGGACATGTGATGACAGCAAGTTGAAACTGCATTTTGTTCTGAAGATATCTCAGACTGTCAGACTGTTATAAATGTACTTTTTTACACTAAGAGAAAAATGTGAAGGTCGTTATTATCTCAAGGTTATTCTACAGTGGTTTTACTGGTCCGGCCCACCTGAGATCAAATATGGCCCATGAACCAATATCAGTTTGACACCCCTGATTTAAACTGTCAAAAAAATCCCTCTAAAATAAAGAACTTCAAAATAAGCATTTTTATTGTAATTTAATACTCTTCTCACGTCATGTAAGACAAAAAAAAAAAAATTTTATTTTATTTTTTATTTTATTT